CCGCGGGTTTTTGAGCGTGTTTCTCAGGTTCTGTATGATTCACTTGCTTATTAAAGCTTGTTGTCAGCTTGCTTGATGGCCTCGGACTCGGGCTGTGTGTAATTCATTCGTCTGTGCGTCGCTGGGATTTTCCTTTCCCTCTGTGTGCTTCCAGCATTATTAAACACATTAATCTCTGGCATCTGATGCCTTGTTACGACACGGCGCGGCTCCCATTTGTGCAACATAAAACAGAGATGTATTCGCACATCATCCTGAACTTACTCTGCCTTGGAAGTCCGGAGATAAAGGAAGAAAATTGAGTTTGGGCTCCATGTTCAATATTTTCATTTATTGTTTGGCGTTTGTTGATCTGATTCCAGCATCCTTTGGGCTCGGTCGTTCTGCTGTGGATGTGATGACGTGTTTGCAAATGTATTTAATGAGAGCCGGTGGGCTTTTTCTGGTAAACACACTCGAGAAGATGCACTCTGACTATCCTTGAAGGCGTATTTAATGCAATTTCTTTAAAGAAAGAAAAGTTTAACTGCTTTTTTTATCTGAGTTTCAAATTCTGCAATCTGTTGACGACTTTCATGTTTCCTTGCTTACAGGTATATTGTAGCCATCATTGGCATTCTCCCTTCAGATTATGCTGTATGTATTTCAGAGTATTACTCTGGGTGGCTGAAAGTTTTATCCATCTAATAAACCCAGCTTTGTTTTTTTTATTTTCTGTCTCTGCTGCAGAGCACCGTCTGCTCTCTAGAGCTTCACAGATGGTAGTTCTTGACAGCGTTGCTCTGAGATTAACCCTTAGGTTCGCATCATTCTGTTGGTGAGGGCAAAACTCAAACTCAGATGTTTGGTGCTGACATAAAACCTGCTAGTGGTGACATAGTCCATGTTGTTGTCACAAATTATGGTACAGATGTCACTTTCTGGGTTGAATGCGTCTCTCCGGGGGGCACTCTACAATGTTTTTAGGTAATGTAAGACAGCAAAGCACTCCACACCAAAGTAATGCTAGAATAATGAATACAACTTGCTTTGCTTTGCTTTGATTTCCATCAATAAAAAGCAGCAAATATTGCTGTACCCATTTGAAATCCTGGAATTTGATGCTAACCCGTTTTTTTGTTGTTGTTTTCCCTCTACATTTTATGAAGAAGGAAGTTGAGCTCAGTGTCTCCTGCAGAGGTTTTCATGTTGTTTCCTTCAGTGGTTTGTGAGGCAGCGCCGCTTAAGGAGACACTAAAGAAATCCCTCTATATTCGACAACTGCTGATAAAAACATAAATATATTCTCAAAAAATCCTTTTATCTGCCCACCTTTATAGTCCAAACACCAAATATGCATTAATATTTTCATTAACATTAGAGTCTATTTTCTGTCTAAATTAGCTGAAAACTGAAGGTATTTAATGTGATTTTGGTTTTCTTTTTGAAATTATAGTGTGGTTTTAAACTACCACTGGAAAGCAGAAATACTGAGCTGTAACTAAGGTGTACAGTTAGTTGTCAGTTTTGTGTTTCCTGCCTCGGGATGTTATCCATTTTAATCATGCAGATCCCACAGAGTTCCCTCAGTAAGGTTTTCCACCCAGTTTAATTCAGGTTAATGATTAAAAAATACTACTAAAGCCTAGAACTAAAAAAATGGAAATTTCTTCACACAAAATGACCAACTAGAGTGCATTTTACTCAGAAATGAAAGATGAATTGGACGTTTTGGAGTGCGGTTGGCTGAAAACAAAAGAAATTCTGTTTGGTGAATTTTGCGAAGAAATAGTGTTGTGCAGTTGGGTAATGTTTCACCAGAGTGGCTGTTTTTCCACTCAGAGGAAAAAGCATTTAATGTTCCTCTCTGTTAGCCTCTGAGTCCAGAATATTTTTTAAAAATTCTTTTCATCTTATCTTGTTCTAGCAACTGACCATCTGGAGAGCATTTAGATTTTTTTATAAGTAGAAAAAGTTAGGACTGAGAAGATTAATTGAAATAATTGCCATTTCTGGCTATGACAGTCTTATTTTCTTATGGTAAATCAGTAAAAGCAAAAAGCTTAAGAGGTTAAGTGAAATATTTGCTAACTGTGCCATTTTTTAAAAGTCTGATTAATCATCTAAATAAATTCCTAAAACAATCGTTAGTTGCAGAACTTCAATACATATAATATTTTTTTAGCTGCTTTCTGTGCAGAAGACGGCCACAAATCTTGGCTGAATGTTTTTCTACAGTCCATTTCCATCATGTTGCTTCAACCACTTTAGGCATTTTTGGTGCTTTCAGTCTGTGATCATTGTCTGGGTTGTTTCATTTCTTATTAACCACCAGCCTGTTCGCTTTAAAACTGCATTTGTTCAAAGGCCTGTTTGAACCAAAGCGTTTGTCTTTGCTTGTGGATTCTGTACATTGTTGTTCTGTTCAGAGTATTTTTTTTTCCTGCCATGCGGTTTCAAAGAAACGCTGTAAACTTGCCTCATTGTTTTGACGTGCAGCCCCTCTAGAGCTTTTATTTTTTAAAAAAAAGCAAAAACGTGTCCTCCAATCTGCCCCCGTCTTACAGACTTTGCTGAGTGGTTGGTCCCTGGGGTGGATAGCTGCCAGTTTAGTCTCTACTACTTCACACCTCTCAGTGTATTTGTGTGAAAGACGGAGAACAGGGAGACCCAGGTCACAGAGCTCCATGTTTGTTTTTTCTCTCCTTCCAATCTGGAAAATTCAATCTCAAAGCTGGGATCAGATAGTTTCTTTTGCAGGCTGGAGTTATAAATAAGTAGCTTGGCTGATTTAAAATTGATTTAAAAAGTCAAAAGTGGCAGCAGGAGTTAATAAAAAAAGTGTCATTTTACCTCATGGCAGTGGTCAGCTACAGCAGCTCAAATAAAGCTGCTGAATTGCCAGCAGCTGTGTCAAACTGTCGGCTGCATGTTAGGGCAGAACTCACAATATCCTGACATTTTTACTGGACTTGTGCCTGGAGCTAAATATAAAACGTCTCTCTAAGAAAGAGACACCGAGACCCTTCACCTAACACTGCTCCGAAGTCTGCAGAGCAGGTTCTTCTCCGACAGAGAAGTCTGGTTTGATTGCAGGTGACAGTACAGAGGCTTCCACTCTTATCGCTGCCCCTGGAAAAAAGCCTACAGATAACACTGAAAACGTTTGGAAAATGAGGGCCGTACATTTAGAGGTTGAAAAAAAACACATAAATAAATAATATATATAAACGATTAATCAGATTAACTGTGATTAATCAAATGCAGCAGTCTCCACACTTTTCCACACCCTGGAAGAAAAGCATGAAGATAACACTATAATGTCATCGAAAACGTTTGGAAAATCAAGTGCATACATTTAGAGGTTGAAATAATAATATATATAAATGATTAATTGAATAAATTGTGATTAATCGATTGCAGCACAGACTTACAGAGGCCTCAACAATTATAGTTTCCCCTGGACAAAAAACCTTAATATAACACACAATCTCACTGAAAATGTCTGAAAAATCTAGAGTATACATTTAGAGGTGGAAAAAACACAAAGAAATCATATACATAAATGATTAATTGCATAAATTGTGATTAATTGATTATGAAAATAATCAACTATTTTAGTAATAAATTTATTGTTAACTGCATTATACTGAAAAAGGCATTTTACTGAACATACAACATATTCACACCTGTATTTAAGTTAAAATTATACAAATATATACATATTTTGCTTTTAAGATAAAACAAACTTTCTGTAACTGTAGATATTTTCTACGATGTTTAGTGTAGAAAAGAGTCCAGTTGGTTATAAACATGTTCATGTTAGTAGGACATCATCACCCAGTTTTGTATAGATCGAGGTGTATTTGGTCTCCTTTTCATTTGTTTAATATTCATGAAGTTATTTAAAGTCGGCTCTGAATCGGAGCGGAAGGTTACTCCGCATGAAAATGTAACTTTATGGCTTCAAAACTGTGCAGAGTGATAATCAGTGCAGGTAAAAGCTCCATCATGGGATGCCTCATTCAAAAAGAAACGACAAAAAGATAAAGAAACAACAGAAGAGTCAAAATCATTCAGGTGAGATATAGAGTAGCTGCTGAAGATATTGTATTTAGAGAAACTTGAATGTTTTCTGTTTTAAATTTTTAGAAATTAAGAATTTTACAGTTGAAGTTGGGATATTTCCTGACATGTCAGAAATTTATTAGAAAAAATCCTCAGAATTTTGACACAAAAGTTTTTGTAAAAAATGTAATGTTAAACTCGAAATGTCTGAGATTTTTAGCAGAACTTTTCTCCTCCTTGGATATTTTTTTCTTTTTTCGCCTCGGGTCGTTTTCACACTTGATAGTCTGATAAACTCGGTTCAATTTGAAACCAAAAATGCGACATTTGCTACATTGTCTCCTGGTTCGTTTTCACTCTGAACTGAGCCAAACGAACCAAACCTTTTGAAAAACCTGTTCCCTTCCTTGCCTGCATTAAGAACTACGGAAGGAAACAACATGAAAACCTTTTAAGAAGACACTGAGTGCAACCTCCTTCATAAAATGAAAACAAAATTGGAATAACATTTGTATGATTTCTGTCTGGTCCCTGATAAAAACCTCAAGCCACTTTGTTCTGCTAGGGCTGAACTAGCATGTTTTTTTGTTTGTATTTACCCAGAATGCCCTGAGGTGTAGTCCACTTCCTGCTTTTGGAGCACCAGTGTTTATTTAAAATGGTTTTCAGGCGGACCAGAGTTTGCATTTTTGGTTTGATTAGCATTCACACCTCCACAAACAAACCAGACTTTCTAGACAAACACACCAGTTTATCTTGATTTTTCCCCACAAAACAAAAACTATTTATCTGGCTGACGAGATAAAGCTTCCCTTCACTAAACTCCTGTACCAGTGGAGTCTCTTTTCTCTTTACTGTTTATATTTAGTTATTTTTAATGCTGTGCTGGAGAAAATACAAATTTGTCTCTTGGTGCAACCCTTAGATAATCAAACGCTGCCGTTTTTTCTCAGGTGTTCCGCAGGAAGGCGGTGGAGCTGGGAGAAAAGCTGCTGCCAGCCTTCAAAACGCCCACAGGCATCCCCTGGGCTCTGCTCAACCTCAAGAGGTAAAACACTCACACAGCCCCGGCGGTCCACTCCGGCGGCGCTGCGTTTTGATGGTCTGCTGCTTTAAAGCGCCGTGTGGTCTGCGGCTCGCCGCTCTCACTCACTGAGATGTTTTGGTTTAACATGACGGCGGCGCCACCCCGCCACACACGCGTTGTTGTTTTCCCCGAGCGCGCTCTGAAGGTTATAAACCTGAAGGAGCTTTTATTAACGCGCCATGAAATGCTGACACACAGTTTCCCCGGTTTCACACACCACAAATAAAGATGGAGAATCGTTTGGTTGGTCGTCTTCCATCACTTAGGTGTTTCCATCTGACTGCTGTCACCATGTTTTCCTGAACTTAAATAATAGATTAAACGTAAGAAGTCTTCCTTCAATCTCTACAAACTGTTTATCAAACATAAATTTGCTTGCAGTTCATTTAGCTGCGTTGCTCCTGAAGCTAGCTTAGCAAGCAGGAATTGGAAAAGTTTTCTACTAGAAAAAGATCTAAAATAAGACAGCATGAGGCAGCATTTATGCTAAATTAATGTAATAATTTCTGAATAGTGAATAAAAAAACGTCCTAAAAGTTGATTGTGGGTTTGGAAACTCCTTATTTAAAGCATGTTAATATTCTTTATAAAATAAATGTTCTTGAGTTTCTGAATAATTTTGCAACAGCGAGCAGGAGTCAAAATTAAAATCAAATTTTCACGACTTTGTTTTAAACAAACTAAATTCTCATGTTGGACTGAAGTGATTCTTCCTCCGGTTTTCTCCTTTTCCGTCGAGAAAGACGCAACGCTCTGCTGTTTGTTGGCTTTTAATTAAAAGGCAGGTTGTCATGACAATAAATGTGCTGTAACAAATTAATTTCCATTGTGCCTGAACGGGTGAATGCACCCCAACGCCCCCACATCCTCCTTCCTGGAGAGAGCAACGCCCTGGGGGAGCCACGTGTGTGTGTCTCTGCAGGTGTGTGTGTGTGTGTGTGTGTGTGTGTGTGTGTGTGTGTGTTTGTGTGTGTGTCTCTGCAGGTGTGTGTGTGTGTGTGTGTGTGTGTGTGTGTGTGTGTGTGTGGGTGTGTGTGTGTGTGTCTCTGCAGGTGTGTGTGTGTGTGTGTGTGTGTGTGGTGTGTGTGTGTGTGTGTGTGTGTGTGTGTGTGTGTGTGTGTGTGTGTGTGTGTGTGGCAGATGACTGTTTCAATTCACACACACACACACACACACACACACACACACACACACGCACACACTCCCATGCTTGTTATAAGTGACTCAAAATACTCAAAATAATTTTCTGTATCTTCTTTAAAAAAATCTTGAAAGTTAGTTTTGTCTTATTTCCAGTGAAGTAAAATATTTACACTAGAAATGAGTTAAAATGACTTTTTAAGTAATTAGGTTGAAGGTTTGTTCTGTTAATTTAAAATGTTTATTCATATCTCAGACTGACCCACAGATTGATTCCTGCAGTTTGAGATTTAATGCAATATTTAGAGTTTAAACCTAAAATAATTCTGAATTAATGGTTTAAAAGTGAACCACCTTGTGTGTAACCTTCAGTTATTCCACCCCTGCACAAGTTTTAGTTTCTTCTCACTTTCTGGTTCGCCCTTTCGTCCTTGCTCTCCTCCTTTACTTGACCTGATTTATTTTTTTCATCCTTTGGTGAAGTTTGACTTTCTGTCCTGCAGAGGACAAACAGCAGCTCCAGTTCTCAGAGGTCAAACCTCAAACTTTCTCTGTTATTTTAACTCCTGCAGTCAGTGTTTGTTACCGGCTGTAATGCTTGGTTTTGTTGTTCGTAGAAATCAAACGTTCCCTGTGATTGTCATCTTACATGTTCTCTGCAGACGGCTGATTACAGGTTTCACCTCTGAGCCGACTCTGCCTCTGTGATTGGTGCCATGAGAGTCGAGCTCTGCAATAAGAACTCTGCAGAGTTCACTCTGTTCTTCCTGAAATACAGAGGCATGGAATAAGTATTCACCCCCCTCACAGATTTCCTCTGGGTTTTTTTAACCATACTTGATGATTTCATGTCTTGAAATCATCAGAAAACATGTATATTAGAAGCAGACAGATAACATGAGAAAGTTTTATTAGTAGTGGCCTGCATTTTAAAACTCTCAGGTTGCATTTTTTTATGGTGAAAAAAAAGCTTTCATTGATGCCAAACTAACCTAGTTGTCAAGTCATTATTTAGCTTTTGTTTACACACCTTGTTTTCTGGTAAATTCAGTTCAAAATTGCAACATTTGTTACATTTTTCAGCTGGTGTGGTTCACTTTCATTCTGCATTGTGTGAAACCAAACAAGCCAGTGAAAAAAACGGTTCCCTTCCTCACCTGTGGGGGCGCTGCAGCAACATTCACTGAAGGAAACGACACAAAACCCTCTGAAGAAAACACTAAGTGCAAATTCCTTCTTCACAAAATGTAAACAAATAAAATTTAGTGGTTGTCGTCATTTCACCTGTTGGTGATAAAAATCTTATTTAATTAAAACAATAAAAAGTTTATACCATACTGTATAGTTATTAAAAAATCTCTAAGATTAAGAGAAATGTGCATCTGAGTCGGATTATTAAATAAAATAGAAAATGTGCATGTAATATGCTAGTAGTAATAACGTGGCATGACTTTAAATAGGCCGTTTGGGCTTGAAAATGGTCCAAAGTTGCTAAAATAAAACAATTCTACCAAAGTTTGCAGCTTTTTTCTTAAAAAATAGTTTGTATTTATATTGGTCATTGTTCCCCGCAGTATTTTCAAGTCATGTCTGCAATCACAAATGTAGAAAATAAACTTTTAGTTCTATATCTAAATTATTTACTGATTTTAAAAGTTGAGTTTATTTAATTCAGAGATTAAATTGATCTGATGACCTGAGTTGTGTTGCTGTGAAATGTTCCTTCTGTTGGATCTTATGAAGGGACTCTAAATTAGTTGCAGAAGTTTTTAAAAAATAAGGTTAGGGAGTTATTTATAGAGATTAGAGATCTGAACTGTGTCCAGTTGATTTATCTGCTGGATTCACCAAAAACGAGTTCTAGTTGGCCCCTTGGAGAGGAGCGATAAATCAAGGTTACGTCATAAAGGGTCATGAAGCAGACCCCATGTGGCCACATCCAACATACTTTTACTTTCTTTTTCTCTCCGACTTCCTCGCCTCCTTTCATCGGTATGTAAGCTCATTGATTCCTGCTGGCGAAGTGGAAAATGCTCCTAAGATCCACTGGATTTGTCCCAGTTGATCTGCCCCGGACTCATGGCTCATTAGAGCAGATCTGGAAGCACTAAAGCCACGCGGACTGAGCTGAAAGCCTCACCGCATTCACAGGAGAGACCAGACGACTGCAGTCAGCGTGAAGAAATGCACAAACTTGTTTAGTTTAATCTTTAGTCCTTAAAAGTGGCCCATTACGTCTGGATGATACAGCAGCGTATTAGGGATGTTGTAGACAGAAAAGAAAAAATAATTAGTATTAAATTTCCAAGAAAATGGTCTATTCACAACCTGTTCACAGATTCCTGCCGATGTTGAGCTGTTTTAGTCCCTCTTGTCACTTTAAATCCAAATAAACTACTGCTGCCACGTCCTACAATTCAAAGTTAACATTCGCGCATGAAAATGGCTGCAAAAAGATGAGCAAATATTAAAAACGTACATCTTTGAAAAGCAGAAGTGGAGCCTCCTGCACAACCAACAAGAATACGAAGCAAGAATGTTTCTGAATGAACGTCAGAACGCTTGTCTTTTCCAGTAGCCATTGTACAGTCCATGAAACCAACTGACCAAGCTAGCTAATGCTGTGCTTGGGTTGCTAGGTGATTGGCGCTAGCCAACGGGTAACTACAGATTTGTGATGTTACATTCAGAAGGTTTTTGAAACAGTTCATTTTCCAGACGCCAAAAAACATGAGCTCCTTGCCAAAAAAACATCTGGGCGGGGTTTTAAAGAGCTTGGGCTGTTTTTAGGACAACTAGAATCTCAAATGGAAGTATAAAAATGTGCAAAACGTGAAGTTTGCTCCATCTCCCCTTTAAGTAGCAGATTTAATTCAAACATTTTTCATAAAGTTCTGTCTTTAATAATTTGTTTCAGGTAGCTACTCTGATTTTAGAGATCTGCAGCATCATTGAGCTGTTTGTCTTTATAAATAACTACATTTTTTGTTGTTTAATGGCTTTTTTATACTTTTAAACTTGGAACAGAAACCTTGTGGAAGTATTTTCCCCCCTGTCACTTTGTCTTTCAGGCACACAGCAGCTCCACGGTTGCTATCAGATCTGGCGACTATGTCCCACTGCTCTTCTTATTAACATCCAGACTGATAAAGCCTTTGCAAATCACTCCCACCGCACTGCATACTGACTGGTCTTAATGAGCTGGGCTATTGTGTCTCTGTGTGTATACAAGGCAGCGGGCTTTGTTGGCTTTGTTCAGGTGTTTGGATCCTGAAATTAGCCTCTCCATCTTCTCAACAGACACCAACCCAGTGATTGCATCAAACACTAACATGTACACTTCCATCTTATTGTATTCAGATATATTAAAGCTTTTTAGTTCTTTGAATCGTTAGATTTTAACATAAAAAACTTGAATAAAAGGAACATCTTTGGCAGCATCTGCAGCCTCTTGCACATATCTTACAAGAACCACATCATAAATGTATTTTACTGTTTATATATGATAAAAAAAAATGTACATAAAGTGTAGGAGTGTAGTTATGTTGATTTTTGACCATTAGTGAGGTTAGACACTAATGTTGGACACAAACATTTAGCTCTCAGTCTGCACTAAATATGTAATCCTAAAGACATTCTGCCAGATTAAAACAGATCCTCAATTATTTTCTTTCAAGTAAAATTTTGGTTTTGCACACCTACCTGTAAAATCTTAACCCCTTTCAAAATAAGAGCATCAATATAAACATCATTACTGCTTGGCAGCTAAGTGAGCTAAATGTTAGTAAAAAAGTTAGCAGAAATGCTGAAGCGCTACATGAAAATTAGAATCAGAATATTTTACATGATTGTTTCTTTTCATTGTTCTTCCATCAACAGATGTCACAAAAAAAATCAACTTTGTCACTGAACTGGAGCAAAAACCCAATAATGTTTTTGATAACAATGAAAGAATTGAACCATTTCTTTCCGTCTGTGTTTTTATCCCATTTTGGGGAAAATTTGCGTCTGTGATTAATGTGTCTGGACTGGGAACGGATGTGTTTGGCAGCTGGGAGACGTTTTCTTTCCAGCTGACCTCATGTTGGCCCACGCTGTCCTGGAGCAGTTTCTTCTTGATGTTAGAGGAAAATTAGGTTGTTAATTCATGCAGTTTGGCTCAGCAGAGGCAGATGACTGTGAGAACTGTTTGTCTGAGTTGGTATTTAGTGTTTTAGTTAAGTTGTGTTCATTGTTCGGGTTCAGGACGAAGTTTAGGAAGATGTTACATGATTGGTTTCCGACTTAAGTTGAAACATTTCACAGAATATTCCATCAGACATTTACAGATTTAGACATTTGATTTCAACAAAAGCAGCTGTTTAAAATACTAATTTATAGTCGCATTAACTTAGCATGTAGCGGCCATTTTTAGACTGGAAATGAGGTTAAAGACTAAAACTCATTTCCAACTTAAATTTTTTTTGTTTTGTTTTAGAAACCAGAAATTACAAATGGTTTTCAAAAATTGGCTTTTATTTCAGCCATCCCTTCTGTTATAACTCGATACAACGATTTTGGTGTAATTATTCAGATTTAAATTTTTCTATTGAACACGAAGTTTACTGTATGCTGTGGTCAGACAGACGCTCGTCGTAGCGCCAGATCACCAACCCTAATCGTTTTATCTAACCATGAAATAAATTCTTGGCTTTTAAGTTGCACAAATTTCTTTGAGGGAATAAGTTGCCCAAATGTTGGCTCTAACTCTCAGAGCAGCAACCTGCGGTGGAAAGGCAGCCGTGATTAAAGGTCTCTAATTAAACCACCCAAACTCTGACATTATCGCACATTTTCTTCACGGCTGCAGAAGAGGTGCGATAGATTTTGAAGCGTGAGCAAAGAAAATGAGGTGGAAAAAGAGAAGTCGAAGCTTCCTGTTGAGGCTGAGGACAGTGAAAGTGTGAAAATTTATTTTTTTTTCTCCTGCTACAAAGTGCACTTCTAATGTTTCTTGATTAATTCATGACCCTGGAAGGGAAACTTGATTATTAATATATGAAGTTGGAAAGTAGGAGTGTGCAAAAAATCGATTCACATTAGGACTGAAACGATTAATCATGATTAATCGATTATTAAAATTACTGTCAACTCATTCAATTAATTAATTGTTAGAGTATATAAACTCTAAAAAAGGCGGTAAATGGCCTTCTAACATGAATTAATATTTAAAATTTAATAAATGTGGCATTTTAATGTGTATCCTGTTTAGGGCTGAAGCTAGTTAGTTTAGTAGTTGATTATTTTAGCAATTTGTCTGAAATAAATTAGCACATTGTACAGATTTTTAAATGTTCCTACTGAAGCATTTTTTATTTTATTTTTTTTACAATTATGTAAAAGACACAAATAAACAATTCAATTCCTTCATTAAGTAAGAAACCATTTCATTGCTTAAAATGCAACAACGCAACATTCCTTTAGAAATGAACCGGATGAAGCTAAAACTGCGCTAGTTGAGGAGTTTTGGCTAAAAAAAATATTTGCAGACAAAAGTATTTTTATATTAAATGCAAAATGTATAAATATAGTAAGGTTTTGACTTATTACTTCAAATAGCCTTTTTGTGAGTCTATATACTTCAATTAGCAATGAATTGATTTGTAAGTTAGTTGAGAAATATTTCAATTATCAATTAATCACCATAATTTTGATTAATTGTTTTAGACCAAAGCAGATTGGAGTAAATCAAGAGGATACTTTGAACACCAATAGATTAAGAAATCATTATGAACAACAAAATTTATTTTTTAATTGGATCATGGCACCAAAAGTCATAAAAATCCTCACCCATATTTGAAAGTCAATTTCTAGATAGGAGTTGTTCTCTCTGCAGAATTCACTGAAGGCTGAAAGACTTCTGTGATTTTCATCCGAGTGAAATGAAACCTCACCAGGAGCGACTCATGTCCTCTACTGGAAACTAATTTAAATCACAGCAGCATCAGTCTGCTATTCATCAACACCTTGACCCCTGTGGGTTTGCTGATACATAACAGATAAACAATGTTTACCCAAAACGTGGGACAAGCAGATAAATCCATACCATTTTAGACAAACAGCATCATATCGTTTAAATCAGAGTTGGATAATTTATGTTGATCTCTGGATTCATATTGAAAGTTGCCTTGGTGCATTAGTGAAGGTCTTTTCATAATCTCCTGATAAAGCTGCAGCTCTGGGTCACCGAAACACTTCAGAAACATTTCCTGAGTGAGTAAATTTTCATTTTGGTGGATTAAAAAAAAAAAAAAAGCCTCTTCTACAACAGCTCTATTCAACATCTCAAGGCTTTTACTAATAGCTAAATGAGAAGAGGCATAAAAGAAGCTTCCAGGTGAAGTTTGTTTTCATTTATTTAATTCCCTGATGATCCATTAAAAAGCTGAAATCAAAGCCATGTGTGCACTTCATCCATTTAAACATCATCTTATTTGAATGAGATTGGTCCACTTCCAGTAATGCAACAGGACATTAACCAAATAATTTATTTTAATAAGTGTCTCCCCACTCTGTGGAGCGTGGAGTTGTTAAACTGGGTCAGTGGGCCATGTGCCTCAGTAGTCAAACACAACAGTGGACCCAGGTGGGCCAGACGAAGCTCCATTGTTCGGTATTACGATGGATTATTGCCATTTTCCAGTCCCAGAACAGGAACCAATGGGACCGGAAACAAAAAAACTGGTTTAACGTTTTTAAACTGGTTCATTTGGTCCAAAGTGGAGCAGAAATGAAGATAAAGTTTAGGTTTTTTAACCCTTTGTCTAAACTTTGTACCCGTCGGTCCATCATCACAACAGTCGTCCATCTACTGATCCCATCCATCCATAACTGAATTTGATTTTGTATATTTATTTATTTATTTATGTTTTTCAAAACAAGAAAACAAGCAGGACAGAGAAAACATGTGCATACATACCCAACAACAAAATAGTCAGGTTACCATTACTTTTCTGTTTGAAATGATTTGGAAGGAGTGAACACTTATTTCAATTTAATGAAATATATCAATAATTAGCCAAAATCTGTAATTAAAACCATGTTGTAATATTCTTGTACCTGTTGTATGATTACAAACCAATTCATAACAAGACAAGAAAATCTACAGATGATAATAATAATAATAATAATAATAATAATGATGATGACGATTATAAATAACTACTCATACATAATCTGAATAATTACCAACTCCTTGCAAATATATGCCTATAAACTCTTACTAATTTGTGCTATATGACAATAAATGAAAGAAATGTAAACGCTAAGAAGAAAGTGATAATAATGATGGAATGATAACAATAATAAGCTGCTAATATTAGTAATAGTAACCCAGAAGAAAGTAAGGAAAAAGGACGCCCATTCCAGTGGAGACAGGCCTGAAGGGGTTAAATTCGGACTGAATCATGGATGAACCCGGTTCTCCGCTGATGGGTCTGTCTCTCACCGGTGACCCTGCCGCGTCTCTCCGCCTGCTGCTCCCCTGGTCCTCCCTCTGTTTGGCTGACTTGATTAAATCCAGGGTGTAATGGGAAACAAATTACGCCTTGTGCAGCATGATGACTTGAAGGGGGGGATAATTAGTATGTTCATCCACGTCCTTAAAGAGATCTGTGTGAGTGTGGCTCTTCTCCCAGTTCACAGATCTCTTCTTCTTCTTCCTCTCATTTGCTGGATCTCTTCCCTGAATGCGGCGGTTGTTTCGTGCGCTTCGTGTTGCACTGACAGTGAAGTAAATAGCCAATATGTATTCATGAGTACTCACTTGAGGCATTGCCATCAGAGTCATCAGTCCTTGGCCTGAAATTGTCTCATCAGTGGCTTTAATGATCTTGCAGACTCTGCGTTGTAGAGTCTTTTGTACTTGTCAAGGAAGCAGGTTGCTCTGCAGGAAGGAAAAATATGCTGCTTTTTGTGACGTCAGTCTGGCTCCTTCCAGGTCTGTTTTAGAAATCTGTTTGTTAAAATCAACTAAAGAAGAAGAATGCAAATGTAGTGCTGAGACGTCTCCCGGATCAAAGGAGCTGCTGAGTTTTAAACAGCTGCTGGTTTAAAGCTCCCATCCAGGATCCGGCTGATAAATGCCTCCATGTTTGGATTTGACCCTTAACTCCTGGTTTACCATTTCATCTCTTTATCCTCTCTGTCACATTAATGGAAATTTGTTTTGTATGACACTGGAAGTCTGAAAAATAGTTTGAATTGTTTTTAGATCTGCAAAATTATGGAAAAGGAAAATATGGAAGAAATTTCTGTTTCCATTAGTTTGAAATGACACTTTATGTTGAGGTTTCCTCCATCAATTCGTCTGTTTAAATATATAGAATAGTGATAATAATCCATACAGTAATGCCTCTAAAACCATCCATCCACTCATCCATCTGTCTAACCACCAATTTATCCATCCCTCCCTCCGTCCGCCCGTCTCTAACCGTCCCTCTCTTTGTGTCCCAGTGGTGTCGGTAGGAACTGGCCCTGGGCTTCAGGCGGCAGCAGCATCCTGGCGGAGTACGGCACCCTCCATCTGGAGTTCATGCACCTCAGCAAACTCTCCGGAAACCCAGAGTTTGCTCAGAAGGTAAGCGAAGCAAAGCCATTGAAATCTGTTCAAAACAACAATTTCACTGACAGATACTCCTGTCTCTGTAGGTGATGAACATCAGGAAAGTACTGAACCGTTTGGACAAACCTCAGGGACTTTATCCAAACTACCTGAACCCGAACAGCGGCCAGTGGGGCCAACGTAAGTAACTCTGTCACTTGATAAAGTATCATTTGATCTTTTTATATCTGAACCTGAACGGTGGCTGTAAGAAGCATGTGGTAAGGACACAAACCATTTAAAGTTTCAATAAATGTGCCAATAAATTCATACACAATTCATTTAAACTAGAAAGTATTAATTTAAGCATCTCTCTGAGGCTTTTTGGACATTAATTTAATATTAATAAACTCTTATTGTTCTTGACACACACATCTTTAAACTCCTACAAACAGAAGAATATGCAAAAACTCAAACTTAAAGCTTCTCATATAGAAGAAACGCTGTAGTTAACATATAAAATACTGTCTGAATTCATTATGTAAACCAACAATAGAAATCTGAATTTATTACATTATGAACGTCGCCCAGGTTTGAACTAATTCATGCAAATTGCTGCAGTTCTGCAGCGCGTTATGTCCGTCTTTCACCTGCAATTGTGCAGATTTAAATCAGCAGAGCTGATATACATTTATTCTCCTGATGTAATCATTAAACTGTCTGGATCAGACTGAGATTATTAATTATTGAAATATAATCTTTTTTTGGACAGTAATGTTTTGTCACTAACTACAATTAGCAGAAGAGAAATTCCTCTAGAAATAAACATTTTCAGCAGAAAAATTAAAGAAAAATGTTTTCACTTTCTTCTTGGACTTTGACAAAATTTATAAATAAAAAAAAAATTGTCCCTCCACAAGCTCCAAAGCACGCTAATGTTTACTAGCATCAGATCAAGTCATGCTCCGTTTCCTAAAGCTGCCGGTTGAATCTTGTTGGACGACTTCACGGTTTGGTTGCCCACTCTTCACCCGTCAAGTATTTTCATTCTCGGTCTGTTCAGATGCTTTTATGTTCCTGATAGGGTGTAATTTTAAACCCATTAGCCGACTCTTAAAACCACAGAGCTAAACAGGTAATGATGATGATGATGGAGGCATCGGATGTGAAGGACGAGCGGAGAACAAAGACTAACGGAGAGCCAAGATAAAAGCTGGGATGTTGGTGTTTTTATACATCAAAGAAAGTTTTCTATCAGTATATTTAGTCTAGATAAATGAAAAATGCAGTTTTTAAATGATTACTTCTTTTATTTAAGGAAAGAGTTGATCTGTGGAGAAATTTGTTTGCAGAATAACTTTTTATTCAGCCATGAATAAAACATGAGTTACATGAGGAAATTTGATTTAAGTAAGAATAAAAATGCTTCAAAATAAAATTAGTCAAGTAAAATGTAAAAATACGCCTAAAAGTTAATTTTTTCTAAAACGCTTTTGTATTTGAATAAGTGTAACTAACTGATTAAGACATTATTTAGCTGTTGACTCCTTCACAACAAGTGAACTAAATCTACTACAAAACCTTAATAAAAATATTATTAAAGAATTATTCAGAAAGTCCAAAAAACGCAGCAGCTGCAGCCGCATCGGAATATAAAGTGGCAAAAAGATGCTTTGAGACGAGCTCAAATTGACCTCCTTAAACCCACCTTCTACTTTTTAGTGTTTCACATTTAACAGCCATAAAAAGTTCTATATTCTTGATCCAATTTCACCTTTTATTCACATTATTTTGCTGTTAACTTTTACTGTTCTCCGTAAAAAAAAAAAGAGAAACCTGTGCTTTCCACCGAAAAAGAATGTGACATTAAAGTAAAAGTCCTTTTGCCTGGTTTTATTATTTTGTTTTTATATCCACTGATATGCTCTCAGCTTTTATTGAAGCGCTGTCAGGTATAGTTTTACTGCACAGCTTTTTATGAAAGGCCTGCAACTGTCTGAGTCGGATAAATATGGATCTGTTCCCGCAGACTGCTCTGAAATGCTCAGTAAAACAACCATTTAAACCGCATGAGCGGTTATAATTGTTCATATTTATGTGACACAAAGCTGATAACGGTGTTTTCAGGTAAGTATTTCATTAAGAGACGCATAAAAGTAGAATCGCTGTTTAGATAACACAAAGAAAAGAGGAATGATTGCATAAAAGTTGTCTAGCTGATAGAATATGACGGCGGTTGGGTTGGGAACTTTGGCAGGAGAGGAAGCTCATAAACTCTTATATTCTACCTTAAGGTTTGAGTCGTGTTGAGAAATTCAGATCATCGAAATATAACAAAATATAAAGATACTTACTTTTAATTAGGAGAAAGTCATAATAATGCAAGAATGGTATACAAGAACAGAGTTGAAATAATATGACAATAAATGTTAAAATGACCAGAATAAAGTAGTAATTTTATGAACGCCAACAGATAAGAAAAAAAAAATTCTCATTAAAACTTGTTTTTCAAAACATCCTATTGATTAAAATCTTATCTTTTTTTGCTAACATTATAATTATAATGTCATAATTAAGCAAAATTCTCATAGTTTGGACTTAATTGTCCAACTCACGGAAAGGATAAATGAAATAAAAGCAACTTTTTGAAAATAAAGTCATAATTCAATGAGAACTCAATATGAAAAATAACAAAAGAAATCTTATTTGATGTAATTTTAGGACAGATTTTTGGTAAAATTGTGTCTTTTTTTGCTAATATTGAGACTATATTCTCATAATTAAAGAAATGTTCTCATAGCCTGGCACTAGTAATCTGTTCAACTTATAATTGAAATTAAAGCAACTTTATGAAAACACAGTTGCAATATTACCAACCCAAAGTCATAATATTACCATAATAAAGTCGCAATTTTAAAAAAACTCCAAACCGGGAAAAATCTTGTGTTTTAAGTTAGATAATTTGTACCTTTTCATCAATATAAAGGAATTATTTACTTTAAATAAGCTCCTATTTGTTGCTGAAAAGTTACTTTTAAGTTAGTTTTCTTATTTCAGGTTTATTGAGATATTTACATTAGAAAACTAAACCAAAACTACTAATTTTATGTTTTTGCGATGTAGAAATATTTCTGTTCATCACTGATTCTTTCTTTTTAAATGTTTCTCCTTCTTTAAACCAAACTTTCCTCCTCATCATCATCATCCTCTTCCTCTCGTTTCACCTCAAGATGATCACAGCTGACATTTAATCTCTGCGCTTCTCAACGGTGCCGGACTGCGTTAATAACGCATGCATATGGATGAGCCTTCGCCGACTATCAGCGGGACAAAAACTAGAAAACTACTCGATCAGCCTGCCGCCAGAATAACGTAGCGGTGTTTGTGCAGCGCCCTCGCCGGAGCCGCGCTGCTGATTTATGTTCCTCCGCTAATCTTTGCTGCAGATCACGTGTCTGTGGGTGGCCTCGGCGACAGCTTCTATGAGTATCTGCTCAAGGCCTGGCTTATGTCCGACAAGACCGACGAGGAAGGGAAGAAGATGTACTACGATGCCCTGCAGGTGAGGCACAAACACACACACACACACATGCTGAGAGGGCTTTTATTGGATTAGCTGCTCAAGTTAAACAAAGGGCAGGGACTTAAATAAAGCTTCAGGGGTTGGTCAGAAATACTAAATATGTCTTTATCCACAACTTTGGCTTCACTTTACGATGTCAAACTTAATTTGAGGTGATTTTCTGATCTCCTGCTTTAGTTATTATGCTTCCTTGACCAGGTTAGGTTTGCTCTCTGGGTGATGCAAAACAACGTTGCTACATTTTTAGCAAAATCATTGTTAGATGATCAAATTTCAGTCCGATTTTGAGCTGTTTTAGGGCCGCCTGTCACTTTAAATCCAAATAAGCTGCTGCTGGCCACATCCCCTCAACTCGATGTTTACACTCGCACGTGAAAATGGCTGCAAACAAATGCGCAACTATGCAACCGTACATCTTTAAAAAGCAGAAATGGAGCCAACAAGTGGTTTCTGGATGGTAAGTCAACAACTAAACTCTTTTCCAGCAGGCATTGTACAGCTCATACAGTGGGAAACCAGCTGACCAAACTTGCTGGAGCTTGGTTCGTCAGGTAACGGTCCGAACTCCGCTGAGGTTGCTAGGTGACAGGCTGGGCTTCATTGCAGTTAGTCGGTAGTTTGAAACCTCTACTTTTTTACTGCCATGCTTAGCGTCAACATCTCATGAAAATCAAACTTTGTTTCGCTCCAAACCAGCAGACGGACGCGTCTAATTCGCATTTTCAGGTTCATTTTAAATGTTTGCACAAAATCCACACGCGACTTGGACCTGACAAATGGAAACGTAGATCCAATCAATTTGACCTGCATAGCACATTTTAGCAAGAAGGCAGGAAAAAGTGCTTTACATCATAAAACCACAAAATAAGTCTTAAAAACAACATGCAGTCACCAATTGACATCCTGTTTTGTCAAATTCTGTCATAAAAATCATCAATAGATGTTAAATATGTTGGTCAATGCCAGTGGTAATGAGTCGAAAGCAATTTAATGTGTATTGATGCATATATGTTTGGTGGTCAATGTTCTTTAGTTGAAGTTATAGAAGATATATCTCCAGTCTGTGATCAACCAAATGAAACTTTTAGAACCTGGTGGTGTTACATAAACCTCACGTTGAGAGGACGTCTAATTTCCACTTGTTCCCTCTCAGCAGACAGCGTGATGTTTGTTTACAGCTGGTGAAGTGTTGCTGTTTACTCCACAGGGTTTAAATCCCTCATGCAGCCTCTGAGTCATTATAGATGATGCTGAATAATGGCGGACAACAACAGCAAGGTCAGCTGTGAATAATAAAAAGCAGTCATGCTGTGGTATTTACCTTCATCTGCAGACGTTACAGAAATCTGGTTATTTAAATGACCTCACGAAGAGTCGAAGATGGTGAAGCTGATTCATAGGAAGGGGAAAAAATCCTCCTGCACCCAGAGGATTATTTATGTCCTCTATTATAATAAATCATCCAGTTAAGTTGTGGTGATAAACGATGGGTCTCAGCTGGAGAAAGCGGCTGGATGTCCTTCTGTCTCACTGCGGTGCGTTCAAGAGCGAAAATATTGGAGTTAAACATCGACAATGACGAAATCTGGGAGGATTATTGACTACTGATCCAAAACAGTCATCTATTTATGATGAATTGTCGAGTAATTGTCTTTTAGATTAAAATGAATCCCAATCGATTAACTTGGTCCATCCTGCAGATGGCGCCGCTGGTCATTCTTAATCAGAGAAACAAAATGGTGGAGCGGGAAAGAGAAGTGTCGACTTCTCAACCAAATATTAATCTAAGCTAAGTAGGTTAGAAAACCTCAATTTTCTGCTAATATCAGTTGTATTAAACACAACTGATAGAAAATATTAAAATGTAACCATTTTAATTCAGCATATTATGGACAATTTAGCTCTTTGTGTTATGGAAAGACGATCAGCCATTTTGATTGTAGAAAAATGGCCGTTAATCAATTAAACGTTTCCAGTCAATCAACTTTAGATCAACTAAATCATTGGTAACTCGCATCCCTTCTATAAACATTCCTGGATTTGTTGTCAAAAAGAGGCAATCAAAGCAAAGCTGTGGCGAAAACTCAAGTTTTTAAGAAAATGGCTGCTTATCAATTAATCATTAGTTGATAGATAATTGATCAATTGCATCCCTATCATAGAAACAACATTGGATTCACGTTTTCTGATCCTTTTCTTGCTGCCAGGCGATAGAAACCAACCTGATGAGGAAGTCGAGCAGCGGCCTGACCTACATAGCCGAGTGGAAGGGGGGGCTGCTGGAGCACAAGATGGGCCACCTGACGTGTTTCGCCGGCGGCATGATCGCTCTGGGCGCCGACGGGGCCCCGGGCGACAGAACGGGCCACCAGATGGAGCAGGCGGCGGAGATCGCTCGCACCTGCCACGAGTCGTACGCCAGGACAGGTGACTCCAGGACGAGCCTTTGAGTCGTCTGGAAATTTTATGTTTCATAATCATCATTTCAGAATTAACTATAAATAGATTCTAGTCAGATTTTATATGTGATTTAAAGCATTTTGTCTTTTTTTGTTTTGAGTTAATTGATCATTAAATTCTCGTGGATTCAAATATTTTAGTAAAATTATTTTTAAATTCTTCCACGTAGGATTTTTTTTTTTTGTTTCACAACAAAATTGGGACGCCTCCTTTATTTTATGAAGTTTGAATGGAAAAAGCAAATTCTGCTTTTTTGTCCTTTTTATTCCACATCTTCAGTTTAAAATAAAAACAAGACGCTTTATTTAAAAAGACAAATACTTTCCATTTATGAAACAAATCCATTGAAACGATTAATCAAATTAATTGATTATTAAAATAACAACTAATTTAGTCATCAATTAATTGCTAACTGGATAAATGTTTGTCCTGTATCTTTTAATATATTTCTAATATTGTATGAAAATGACAAAGTGGTTAAATAAAAAAACTGATTTTTTTTTTTGTTCGATTAATTGTCAGATAGTTAGTCTCATTTCTACGCTGTTATGATTGAAATTGATTTTATTAGCATTCATTTTTATTCTTTTATCATTGTTTTTGTATTATCTTTATTTTATTAAACATTAGAAAGAAATTAAAATGATGATGATCATATTTTGTTCGATGTTTCAATAAGTTTCTGGAGGATTACAATCTTCAGCAAAATGAAAACAGTTTTATGATGGTGTTCTCTGCGTAAACTAAACGACAGCAGCTATTATATAAATCTAAAGTCTGCTAACGCTGGCTGTCAGGTGATATAAATCCTTGACATAAAGTAAATGAAAGCTGTGATGTGAGTCTTTAACGATGTTGTTTCCTTTCTCCAAAGCGCTGAAGCTCGGTCCGGAGGCGTTCCGCTTCGACGGCGGAGTCGAGGCCATCGCGACCCGACAGAATGAGAAATACTTCATCCTGCGGCCGGAGGTCATCGAGACCTACATGTACATGTGGAGATTCACCCATGACCCCAAATACAGGGAGTGGGGCTGGGAGGCCGTCCAGGTGAAGTAACTTCATTTCTCTCCAAAAGGAACCGTTTGAGCTTTACATCATGTTCGTGTTATTCCCTCATCTGACACCCTTTAAAATAAAACAAACTCATTTAGCTCCCTTTCCGTATGAAGCACATGAGCTGAGGGATATTTTAAGAGTCTGTCTGTTTGCGTCTCATCCAGGCCTTGGAGAAGCACTGCCGACTAGAAGGAGGCTACAGCGGCGTCAGAGACGTCTACGCCTCGTCTCCGAACCACGACGACGTGCAGCAGAGCTTCTACCTGGCCGAAACGCTAAAGTAAGTCCAAACCGAGCAGCGTTCCCTTCGGCCCTGCAGGCCTGACCTGACACAAACTGGAGCTGCCTTTCACTCCAGCTCAGCTTCAGACAGAGGCTCAAGGTTATTTCTTACACACACATGCAAAGATACATGTGTCAAACTCGAGGCCTAGGGGCCAAATCTTGTGGCCCTCAGACGCTAAATTACATCAGTCAGTTCCTCTAGTTAATTGTGGAAATGAACACACAATAAACAGATGCCAGTATTTTTTGTTTTTGTTTTTTGCGGGTCTATAGTTGTGATTTTATTGCAAATGTTCTGCAAAAATGGTTTAAAACATAAATCAACAGACGATATGTTTTGTCTGGTTTAAGTGATGCTACCTCCCTCCTGCAGGGGGCAGTATTTCTTTCTTGAATTCCACTGTTCAAAATGTCATTTTTAACGTAAGTGCAAATATTTCTTAATCTGCTCCACAAAATTAGTCACAAGAAATGACAAAAACATTTCCAAAATCCTGGAAAGATGTTCAAGATTATTTAATTTAAAGAAATACTCATTGAATGCAGAGACACATATTAATATTTTAACAGTTTAATTTGTTTCATCATTAACATTCATAATCTTAATGAAACTAAAATTGAAAATGAGTTTGACTCGCCTGCTTCCTAATGTTTCATTAAAATCCTGAATTTGGAAAAACACAAATCAAACAAATTCATACATCTAATAAAAACTTTTTTTTTCTTAGTCTGAAGTTCAATTGGACTGAACTTTTCTGGTTTTCAGTTACCAAAATTATTTCTATTTACTAAATACCAGAAAATGTGTAAAATATTTTTGTTTTATTCATTCGAGTTATTAATTTTTTTGCTTTTTGGGAAATTAGTGTTTTGTTCTTAGAGCAGTCAAGTGTATTAAATTAAATATTTTTATTTGTCCCTGTGGTATAATGTACAACACAATACTAATAACTGTAATAATAATATCATATAACAATGAATTTAAACTCTTTTTGTTTCTGATCAAAGCCCCAGAGACACAAATCTAAAATCTGGAGAAAGTTCCAGGAATAACGACGAAACAAAAGCTCCTAATTTAGCTTCAGTAATTACAGATATGTCACCCAGATGATGTCTGTTACATAAATCTAAAAAAGTTAATTAGAAAAGGCTCCAAATATTAGAGACAGAAACTCCCCTGCCAGCCGCAGCGTCAAACGTTTTGCTCCAATCGTCTCCAGTTACTTTTGTTTTTACTGGTCAGGTTTTGTGTTTCACAATTTCACACAAACAAATCCAGCATTTAATTTGCTAAATGCTGGATTTGAGGTTTTATGATGCAACACAGAGGAACTTCAGCAACGTGGTATTTAGTGGATGCTAATGCTAAAGTGCTAAGTTTAAATGTTTTTTCTGCAACAGATCAACTGGATATTTGATAGTTGATGAACAGGATCAAATACGCTGTAACACGGTTTACGTTTCATGCGCTAAATGTTTCCAAAGCTGGCGAAAGCACTACCTGACTTAGCGGATTAGCGAATGTTAGCGCTCCAGTCCTTTGGTTTGGAAACTATCTGAAAAAGTTTCTGTTTAATTTGTTTTCCTGCAGGTATCTGTACCTGCTGTTCTCCGACGACGACCACCTGCCGTTCGAACACTGGGTCTTCAACACTGAGGCGCACCCGCTGCCCGTCATCAGGAAGGACAAAACAGACACGCCCAACGAAGTGGAGTAGCCCCCCAGTGACCTCTGACCCTGTATATCTGAGCCTCCTGCTGGTGACAGGTTCCTCCTTGTCGGATTTTGATTTTTTTGTTCTTTTTATGAACTGGATCTGTTCTGGTTTTATCTGATTTGTTTTGGGTTTTTGTTTTATTTTGAATCTTTTTGCAAACACTGATCTCCGGTTGGGTCGGATCCGGAGCAGCTTTGGAATCATGAGAACTTCCTGTTTGGATTGGAAACGGCAGAGATAATCAGCTGCTCTCCCTCTGGTGACATTATTAATCAGGATGTTTGTCGGGTTTAGTTCTTTTCTCTGTGAATTAAAGACGTTTGGGCACAAAAACCCGTCAGCTCTGACTGACAGGGGCGACGAAGCGACACGGTGAGCGGAAAGTCTCCCGGCTCACTTCCTGTTTCCTTTTCGCTGCTTGAGGATCTGTTTGGTTGGACAAACACTGGGATTTCCTTTTTTTATGTTTTCATCGATCTAAATCATGCCTCGTTCAGATCTGGTTTTCTTTGACCAGCTGTTTGATTTGTTCCTCTTTCTCACATTTCCATCAGAGTTTGACCAAAACAGGGATTTAAAAATGGATATTTCTTCCTAACTAGATAGTTTTTGCCTTTTTTTCCCTGTAAAAATTGGTTTGATTTTAGTTTTAATGACTTCAGACTTTAATATTTTTTTAAATCGGTAAAAAAAATAAATAATTTTGATGGATTTTGGAGCAGTTTAAATTGTCAGGGAGCTTTATTTTATTTTATTTTATTTTATTTTTGGCATACATGAAATATCGGAATTGGCCCGATGTTAATACCCGATGTGACGGTGATGCTGCAGAGGATTCTGGGATATTATTTCTAGTTGTTCTTATCAATATCAGCTAAGATTTTGAAATCAGTGCCTCCATTGAGACCCTGAACATTTACGCTGCTGTTCCAGAGTTTACATCCACTCATCTGAATCATTGTAGTTCCTTAAGGCTAATTTAAAGTGTCGAGAAATGTTTCACAATAAATGATAAATAAATAAAAAAAAGACCAGCCCACTGGGAATTGTCCCGATAAACCCAATTAACAGGTGAGCCTGTTTGTTTTCACCTTGTAACTGAGATCTTAATAACCAGCCACTGGGGCCTCGATGGTGCATGTATATATATATGACTCTGTGATTAGAGGAAATCCACGGATCTTACTGTTAGAAAGTCATTGAAGTTGGACAGTTTTTAATCATTTTGTTCTGCAAAATGGTGATTTAAATGTAGTTAAAGTTGGTATCAATGAGTGGATGTAACCTTCCTCTCTTCTTCTCTTCTGTTTTCCGTCAGGCAGGATCTTCTCCTCTGTGAGGAAATGCAGGAACTCAACTTTGCTCTAACAGCTCCACCTTCCATCACATTGAAGCCATACTAACGTAGCGCAGTTTTTACCATTTACGTTGTCGTTTACATCATGATTAATTAATCGTTTTTTTCCCCCGGAACCGCAGAGATGAAGCCAGATTTCATCCAGTTTGGTCTTTAATCTAGTGCCTTCGCTGGTAAAAACAGAGGCGTTGCAGCTCACATGAACACAAAGAAGGGATTTTTTTAGCAAAGACTCTCAGCTTTAAGTGTGTTCCCATCCTTCAGATGAAGATTTAACCAAAAGTGGACATGAATAAAAGGATTACCACTCCTTTCTGAGGAAAATCCATCTGAAGTAGGAGATCAGATGCGTTATTCCCTCTCCAGAGTCATAAGTCTTATTTCCTGGGCTGCAGTGACACCTAGTGGTGGCAGATTGCCGCTGCGCTTCCTGAATCTTGGGCCAAACGACTGCAGACTGTGAAATTAGCTGCATTATAAAGTAATTACCAATCACAATGTGCAAGGCTTGCAGATCTTTCTCTCGTCTTGCCAGATGATGATGTTGGAGGCGGCGGATCCAATTCATCAGCCGAGTTTTAAAGCAGACAGACGGCAGATGGAGAGTCGTTAAAAAAGTTGCGTCACCGCCAGAGATTATTTATCCGAGGTTTATAAAACATCTGTCTGACCTTTAAGTTTGGCCAAAACACAGAAACAAAGTTTAATAATCCAGGCAGGTTTTTCTAGCGCTTAGGAAAATGTTTTGTTGATTTTATTCTCTGATAAAGTACCAGAAATAATCAAATTAAACTGAAATCAACTTATCAGTCAGATTGTTTTGAAATCATGTATGAAATTTCTTCACTTTAAGTTACTGAAACCAACTGGAGTCGATTTAATTATGACCAAGACATCATGACTAAAAAGTGAAAAAAGCAGAGAGCTGCTGCTGGAAAACATTTTTAAAAAAAAAAGATGTTTGAGGTTTGCAGAGATTTTTATTCTCTGAAAAAGTTGAAAAAACAGCAAATTTCAACTGAAGACAAAACAAAAATCTGATTGTTTTTAAAGCGTCTATTAAATTACTTCACTTTCTTTTTCTTAAACTGATTAAATTAAATTCCTGTTTTGATTGAATAGAAAAATCAAACATCAATATAATCTAATTTTTCATTTCGGTGTCAAAAATTAGATTTTCTTTTTTTTTTTCTTTTTTTTTCCAAAGTTTGGGGTCAAATCTCAATAAAAAGCTTTAATTTCCTCTAACAGGAAAATTATCTTAATTAATTTATCTCAAATGAAATATTTTACTCCAAAGAGTTTCCTTTTTAAATCGTTTTCTCTCTGAATAGTTTTTCTGTCTTTTGTTTGTCTGAAAGCTGATTGTGATGATTTATTTCTGGTGGATCACAGGAGATGCGGGTGCTGGGTGCCGACTCCAGGGGGCGCTGTGGGTTCATCAGTAAACAAACCGCAGAAACAGCTGCTTTATAATCTGCAAAATCAAAGAAAAAAAACTGAAGTCGGTTCTTTTTAAAATGTTTTTCAAGTGACAGAAAGACGACAAAACAAAGGATCAGATGGAGCCGAATGAATGTACCATCAAACGTGAAATTATTTTTGCTTTAGTTCACTTATTTGTCTTAAAAAGCACAAAAAGCTGCAGAAGAATGAATTTACTGAGAGGTAGAAACGCAAACATGGGAAACTAAAAATCAAAGGAAGAAAAAAATCTAAAACTTGAATCGTTTCGTTTCAGAAAGAAACGTTTTGCTCACTTGTATTAATTTTAGTTTTTGCTGAATTATTGGATGTAATTCAACTCTGAATCAATGGATTTTTATTTGTGTATGAAGCATTTTCATTTTTTTTACAGCTTTAACATGAAGAATTTACATTAAATACAACTTTTTTTCATGTTTAGTTTAGGTCTTTTGTTCTAATTTCTCAATTTATTTGTGGTGAAATTAAGGATTTAAAAAGATGAGATGCTGCTTTGTCGGTTTGAATTTAACTTTTCTCTTTTTATTCTTTGCAGGAAATGAGATTAGCTGTTCAGATTATAGAGAATTACTGGGTTTAGACTCTTTTAAGGGCTGATCTGCAGCTTTTTATTTTTATTTTTGTGTCCCGCAGCGTTAATCTGGTCCAATTATCACCTTCAGATTTAATTTATTTCCATAAAAATGGTTGGACTTTTTGGTGATTTTTCTTTTTTTTCTGATCATTTTGTGCTTCATTGTTTTTCTGTCACTGACTCGGTCGCCCAAACAGCCGATGATTTAGAGCTTCAAATGTGTGAAAACAGCCTCAGAAATGTAGAAAAACTCACTGAGAATCATTCCATTGCACAGATTATTTTACATTTGTATGCAGTGTTTTAATTCTGTGGGGAAATTTGATTTATTGTGTGAAATATAATTATTGTTGATATGAAATGTAAATATTGCATTGCGGCAGACGAGCCGTTTGGCATTTATATAAAGAATCTTCTGAAGATATGGAATAAAATGATAATATTGAGCAGCAGACTTTTTAATAAACTATATTTGTTACACTTCTATTGTGAATAAAACATCTTCTAATAATTGTTGTTTCCCTTGTTTTTATCAAGCAACCAAAGTCCAAAGAAAACCAGAAATAGGTTTTGTGGCTTTTGTACATTTTGAACAAATTATCTGTATTTTTTTAGCAAATAGAATTTGGAATTCTCAAGATGATGATGTCATTGCTTTGCAAGCTTCTGATTGGTTAACCATCCATACGCCTGTGGATCTATTTGAACAACCTCGATCTTTATGTGACAAAGATGTGGGTAAAAAAAAAAATCATCTGATTATTTTGATAAGAACATTTTTAAAATCAAGATCTGTGCCGACGAGCTGAAATGCACAACATGTCAATAACTTAACGAATTGGTTTTCTGAGCAGGAAATGTGAAACTTGATCTAGTTTCTCCAGTTTTGTCAGCAAATTATTGATGAATTTGTGGAAGGAAACCCAGAACGTTTAACAGAACTCTGTGAAATTCTACCAAATACTGAGGAAACGAAGGGAAGCTTGAATTTAAATGTTGCTAAATCGGCTACATATTCTCTCTCATTGTGGTTTTCAGTGGAAAAAAAATGTCTGTCTTTATTTTCAGGTACATATTTTAGCTGCATCTGCTAAAATCCTCCTAACATTTCATTGTCCTTTGACCTCTGTTAAGGGATTGCTACATGCTACAGCTAACCTTCTAGTGTTCCCCAGCACATGCTGAGAACTGGCTAACTGTTTTAGCTAACGTTACATTATCTATAAATTAGCATTCAAGGTATATTAGTTAAATGTTACAGCTAACTTTACAGAATAATAGCATAAGAGAACTGCTACCTAATTGCTACAGCTATCCAGTGTTCAGGGCTTGTTGGGTACAAGCTATATGCTACAAGTATCTTTCCAGCATCCCTTAGCACATGCAGAGTGTTGGCTAATGCTATAGCTAACATTTCAGTATGTATAAACCAATGTTCATGGTACATTAGCTAAATGCTACAGCTAGCTTTCCAGTTTCAGGGAATTTTGGCTGAATATTCGACCCACGGAGTAGCAAAGCTCTTTGGCTGACTGGAACAAAAACAGTTCATTTCTAAGCATAGTTTACACATTTTGTGTTGGGATCATTGATGTGACCAAAGTTCTTTCGTCCAGGTCCATTTGGTTTGTCCATGTTGGGACAAACTGTCTGCACCTCGATGTGAACTGGAGCCGCAGCGTTTCAGCTGAATCCAGTTCTTGACGGCAGTTCCTTCATTATCGTGTATTTTATACGATAATATCTTTAAATTCCTCTTGATTCACAGATTTTAGCTTGGTATACAATTTAGATTTTTTAGAACTCAAGGTGGATTGGACCCGTGTTGGATCTCATTGTCATTGAAGGAAGTTTAAATATTTGGTTCTTGGTTGTGTGAATTATTTCAACTGAATTAATTGGGAAGTTTGAGCATATTAGAAGGATTTCTAGATCAAAAGAAATCCTTTTGATCTAGATTTCAAAAGGATTTTTCATTTCATACAAATTGCTCTTATTTGTCCAAAATGAAACCTTCATAAATACTGGGGTTCCTAAAACCTGCCACCAGATGGCAGCAGAGGACGATATATGCTCCAGATGATTCCCACTGCTGCAGTTTTAAATCTTAATGCCTCTTTTTGAGATTATTCTCTGCTTGTCATCCCATCACAACCACCACACCATTCCCACCGAAACCACAAGAGTAGAAGAGTCAAAGAAAACGCGTCACACGGATTAACTGGGACAGATTAAAACTATGTGATTTCATTTTGTTTTGTGGGTGTCGGATGTTTTCCCCCCTGCTGAGACGTTGCTCCTCTGCCACCATCATGGCTGGTTGTTGTTCTGAAACCAGGAAATCCCCCAGGAGTTTGCAGCTCCACTTCCTGTTTGAGTCCCACTGGGAGGCGGGACGTCTGACCCACATTCTGGACAGATGTTCCTGCCGCCTGGATGGATCCTTTAGAGTTATTTATGTCTCTGCACAGCGATACTTTTGATGCAACATACTGACGCCAATGTGAAACGGTTCCTAAATGTAACTCTGCTGCTGGAAATAGATTAATTTCAGCACCGTGGACAGAGACAGAACTGCTGGTTTTCTAAAGAATTTTCTTCCATTTTTAACTAATTTTAAAGTTATTTTTAGTCCAGTGTTGCTCAAACAGTTTTGTCTTCGACTGAGATTTCTTTCTACCAAAATTTGAACAATATGAAATCATTTTGGAGACAAAAGGTTCATTTTTGAGACTCCAGGTGGATTTAGTCGAATCAGCTTCGACTAAAACGGGTTTTCAAAGTTTGGATGAAATTTGAGGGAACTTAAAAAAAAACAAAAATGTGAATTAATTCATGTTTCCATCCAGTGGTTTGGAGCGAATCCACCAAATTGTGATTTAGTCAGATGTTGAAGAACTGATGGGTTTGGACGTAAAACTGTTTTTATTCCTCGCTCAAATGATTGATCTTTTTATCTGAACGTTTTCTGCAGCATCTCTTGTTGTCATGGAAACCAGCGAAGCAAAGCTTCGTCCCTGTAAAGTCTGCTTTCATTTTTCTGTCTCAGTCGACCTTCAGCAGCTCTGATGTGATAAAACATGTTTTCTTTGGTCTGAGAATTGATACCAGAAACAGCAAAACAAGATGCTGCTGTTGTTTGAACCACTTTATTAATGTAACAGGTTTGGCTACTGCATGCAGAACGTGACGAATAATCCTGTTTGCCTTCGTGTCTCCGGTTGATGAGTTAATTCCTGTTTCAGATTTGTTGAATTGGTGGCAGAAAGTGCAGAGAGCAACGTGTAATTAATCCACACGATGCTGATAGCTGCTAATTTGGATGAACCAGCGGAGAGATGATGCACAACAGAGTAAATAAAGCAGAAACAGGCAGCACTTGGTCTGTGGTGTGAAACTGTAAGAAGATGTGACGTCATTAGTTGTTTTTCCATTTTTCTATTTCTGTTTAGTCGACACCAGAAGTTTGGTAAAAAGAATTGATGAAAAATACCAAAGCTAAAATAGTTTGACTTACTAAAATGGTATTTTAACACCTGTGAGGAAATCTTCAATTCACTATCAGCACATCTGGGATTTGGATTTTTTAATAGCCACTGAAAAATGGTTTCTTCTTTTCAAAATACACATTTTGTTGGAAGTAAAACTAAAAAAAAAATTTAATTCAAACCTACATTATTTCTTTTAACCTTGTTTTTTCTGCTCTCTTTAGTGAACATTATATAAGGATACTTCAGAGTTAGCATTAGCATTTAGCTAGTATTCACTGAACACTGATTCAAGGCTACAAGACAGATAGCTTTAGGATTTAGCCAACATTTTATGAAACTGGATAAAGGATTTAGAAAGTTAGCGGTAGCATTTAGCTAATATTCTCTGAACACTGGTTTATAGATGTTGTAACATTAGCCATAGCATATAGTCCACATATGCTAGAAGAAACTGGAAAGTTACATGTAGCATGTAGCTAACAATCCCTGAACACTAGCTAAAGGTTACTGAAATGTTAGCTGTCGCATTTAGTCAAGAACACACGTTAGATGACATGAGAAAGTTAGCTTTAGGATTTAGCTAATGTAACCTGAGCACTAGCTAGAAGACAGTGAAAATTAGCTGTAGCCTTTAGCTAACAGTTTGTTAAGGCTGGATAAAGGGCAGTGAAAATTAGCTATAGCCTTTAGCTAACAGTTTGTTAAGGCTGGATAAAGGGCAGTGAAAATTAGCTATAGCATTTAGCTAAAGTACCCTGACGGGCCATGAACACTATCAGGAGTAATTTTTAGCAAATGTTCCCTAAGCATAGTGAGAAAGTAAAAATGATTGTAGAACATTTAGGAAAATTTGCAGGAATTATGCTTTCTAAAAACTTACACTGTAAAAAAACTGATGTAACCTCCAAAAATGGCTGCTGAAGGTCACCTGCTAAAGTACGCTGAACGTTTAGTGAAGATTTACTAAACTCTAAGTGGGACATTCGATGGTTTAAAGTTGCAGGAGTTTCTGTGGCAGAAGCAAAGAAACCCAAAAACCTACAAATGCAGTTTTAAGGACATTCAGCACATAAAACCCAGGAATTGGACTGAAAGATTAGCTTAGCTGTAAGAAAATAACTGGTCCATAAACACCCAATGAGACCCTCAGTTCTGTTTTACTTCATCGACTTGCAGTCGTTCTGCAGAAATAAATCTCCCTTCCATTAGTTTTACCTGCAGAGGAACTGAGACGAGCCTGAACAGAGAAGAGCTTTAAATAGAAAATATTTCTCTCTGCTGCGGCAGAAACAGGGGAGAAAACTCAACCGCAGCATTGAGTTCCTGAAAATCCCTCCATTCATGTCTGTGTGTTGGGAGTAAATCTGCTGAGCCACAGAAACCCTGCAGGAGGAACCGCTCTGGTCTCATTCAGACTTTCTAACATTTGCATGGATGTTTTTGCCCAGTATCTCATCGAACCACCGCTGAACCTCAGACACACTTTTTACATCGATTAATGAACTTCTGCCATCAGTCAGTCTGGAAATTTGACCCCAACTTCTGGCAGAATGTTTAATTCACATCGATTGGCTTCATTAGTTTCTGGTGAGGTTGTGATCTTTCTGCTCCAAAAACAGTTTTAATACATTTTTTGGGAATCAGCATCTTGAAACGCCAAATAGTGTCTCTAATTTCTGAGTGATTTCTGCTTTCCAGTTTCTAGTGCAAAATAAGACAAAACTAACTTACATGTAGCTTCTCATCAAGATATAGGAGCCAATAATATTGATCTTAAAAACGTTTTAGTCTCATTGGCAGATTATTTAATTTATAACAAGACGTTTTATCATTTTAAAAGTGAAATAATCTGGAACAAGGATTATTCATCTATCTTAAGAAATCACTTGCTTGTTTCTTGTTACTGTGGGTTAATGTTGCACGAAGATGTTTGCAGCAGAAACTGGACCAAAAATATTCGGGACGTTTTTGCTTCCTGCTGTTTTTTCCTGCAGTTTAGCTGCAGCAGCCAAACAGAAAC